GACCCTCATTTCATAGTGTAACTGCTTTGAAATTCACCTCTATATTCATATGTATTACAAAAGCATTTTATAACATTTGTAATCTACTTAAATATTTAAAGAAAAATAAATTGTTTATTTATTTCCTATTTCTCTTTAGATGAGTATGATATATTGTTGTAGTGAATCCTTGCAAGAAGTATGAGTATGTAGTATATTCATCTTTATAGTAAAATATATCTTAGAGATATTGAATTATCAATGAATAAATATTAGATTAAAACATAAAATTATTCCAATCCATTTGATAAATCAATATAGAATAAGAACCACTAAGATCATCATAATTTGAAGACATAAGATTAACCAGCCAACAAAATTCAAAAGTAAGCATATCATCAAGAAAATAAATTATAAAGCCTATCTACTAAATATTGTAGATAGTATGCTAAGAAACTTATCAAAGATAGTTCACATAACACAAAGTATAATTGCCTAAAATGTAAAATACTTATGAATGTATTACCTAAAGGAAATATAATTTTAATCTATCAAAATCAAATTTAGTAATAATCAACACATCCTAAATGAATGTTATAGGAGATATACTAATCATCAGACCATCCAATCTCTAGTTAACAATTCTAAAGAATTAAAGTTGTTAAAACAAGTATTAGCAACATTTTATTGATATTTCAAACCCAAGAAATTAATCCAAAGCAAATCATAAAGAATATATGGTAATATGAAAAGTAAAAGGCATAAAATAAAATAATGAACCATCACAAAAAATCTTTAATTATCCAATCAAAAAATTATCACGGAAAATTCAGAATTCCCAAAAGCTTGTTTAGCGTAGTACTATTCAAACCTACAACACTTAACCCAAATATTTTAAAACCCTTAGGAGGTGTATTCTTATTCATAACCCCTCTTTTGTTATATTTGATTGAATTAGTTCTCTTGGTTAGTTATAATCCATCATAATTCTCTGTAAGTTCACATTTTATTGAATGGAAGCTAAACTCTCTTGACACTTTAGCCATTTAATAGAGTTAAATTTGAGACTCTTCTAATACCAAATACAAACTTGAAACTTTTAATACCAAATATAAGTTTATAAATTTAAACTTTTTGAAAGGTCACTCAACTTAGTACTATTTAAACCTAAAAGTGCTTAATTCAAATATATCTTAAAACCCTTAATCAATTGAAAAAAAGGGTGTACTTTAATTCATGAGCCTTTCCCCTTTATATTTAAACCCTAATGAATTAAAAATAATAATTTAAAAAATAGTCTATTGAGGTTTAAATATAAAGGGAAAGGGTATATAAATAAAAGTGCACTTCTTTTTTTAATCGGTTAAAGATTTGTTCTTAGGTTTGAGTAGTACTGGGTTGGGTGACCTTTAAAAAAGTCTAGATTAAAGAATTTATAATTATCTTTTAAATTGTTATAACTCAAACACTAGTTGAAACACTAATGAAATGAAAAATTAAGCTTTAAAGCAAACTCCATATCATCTAATATCCACATCCACTAACATAAATACTAGCAATGTTAATGCTTCAACTACACATTTTTTCCATTTAATGTTCTATTCTAAGTGTCAATAGATACATTAATAAGTTATATCAAGTAATGCTACAACCTTCTCTAACATTCAATGAGCAAACTCCCAAAAAACTAATGTACTATCACTAATTTAGCATGATGGATTATATTTGAGAAAGTTGATCGTATAGTTGTATTGCAGTCCCACAATTCAGCTATTCTATATGAGGCAAACAATCATTCACTCATATTGCAGTCTCACGGTACAAAATGAAAGAATATACCTTTCTTAAGGGTATATTATATTTTAAGTAATCATTAATTAATAAGAATTAAACTCATGGCATTTACTTCAATACCACATATAGTGCTCCCCTATCTCTCTTCCATTAAGCCAACTGAAAAATGCACAATTGCTTGATAAAAAAAATTTAATAGCTATTTTATCCCTATCTATCCTTTAATGTACATAATGATAATATATCCAAATCTTATTTTATAATCATATGTGCTACAGCTATGAATATATATTTAAATTTCTATTGGAACAAACAATATTGATTTAGGTTTTCAGGACTACCATAGATTTCTATCCTATTAGAAAAGGAAACCCTCACATAATTGTATGTCACAATGCTATGCTGCAAAAACTTTGAAGGTTTTAAAATAGAATCCTTTAAAAAATAATTAAATTAATTAAAACAATATAAAATATAGAATATCCTCAAACTCTACACTAATCTACCTAACAACAAACTAAAAACTAAAAAATATTTCTGTTTACTCAATTAAACGGACATAAATCCAATGGTCTCATGCTTTTTCACTATAAGACTAATATATGAATGAATATACTATATTTTAAGAATGCTCTATTTTATCATTTATTTATATATTATTTACATGGAAGCATGAGACAAAGGGATTCAAAGTAAGTTGCCCAGATGATCAACACAGACATTATAAATTGATTATAGATGTTTATGTGGTTCAGTAACATTTTGAGGATCAGTAAATGTCAGATGGATGGACATTTTTATATTTTTTGAACTCTTTGTAAATATATTTTTTTTGTTTCTTTTTATCATTAGCTAAGTGAAACTAAAGCATGCAAATGTTGAAAGAGGTGTTATCTTATAATAGTAATGTAACAGCTGTTGTTAGTGTATGCATCCCCATTTCCCAAGATCATAACATGCTATTCTAACATATAATAAGTGCTGAAACATCATATAGTCATTTATGCTTTTTATGAATTGTGGTACAAATGTTATTGTATTACAAAGGAGTGGGGAGGAGTGATCACCTCCTTTCTTAATTTTGGGTATACTAAGATTGTTATATGTTAATTTTCACATTCTTATAGTTCACATTACAGATTTAAATTTAAACTGCTAGTAAAATGGTGGCAACTGAGGCAGATTTTGTCACCTTGCTCACTTCTTGTAAGGATCTATCAAAGGCTCAGCAACTCCATACCCAAATCGCACATAGCAATCATTCAAATAGCCACTACCTTGCTAATCTCCTTGTCCAGACATATGGGAACTGTGGGAGCTTGAAAAAGGCAAAGCTAGTTTTTGATGGAATCCGCCAGCCAAACAGTTTTTCATGGAGCATAATATTGACTGCATATGCTCAAAATGGCCATTTGGAGGAGGCGAGTAATATTGCCAAAGAAATGCCCAGTAAAAATGTGGTTGCATGGAATTCTCTGTTGAAATCATATGTAAAAGCTGGCAAACTCTGCGAATCGAGAGTAATTTTCGACAGTATGCTCTATAGAAACACAGTGACGTGGACAATACTAATAGCTGCATATGCCGGAGCGGGGCAAATGGATGATGCCGAGGCACTGTTTAATGCAATGTCGGACTGGACTGTGGTGACATGGACGGCCATGATGAAAGGATACGCTCAGATTGGGTGCATATCAAAAGCCAAAGAATTGTTTGATTCCATGATGGAAAGAAATGTAGTGACATGGAATATTATGATCGCTGCCTATGTGGAAAATGGCCTCTTCAAAGAAGCACTGGTTTTGTTTGAAGCAATGCCATTTTGGAACACCGTGTCATGCAATACGATAATGCAAGGTTACTGTCTAGATGGTTGTTTTGACAAGGCCAAAGAACTATTGTGTAAAATGGTAGAGAAAGATGTTGTTACTTCGAACATTCTTCTCACGGCATATGCCCAACATGGGCAACTAGAACAAAGCAAGGAAATCTTCGACCGAATGACAAGTAGAAGCATCTTATCTTGGAATCTTGTGCTAATGGCATACACCAAGGCATCACTTTTAAAAGATGCCGTGGAGATGTTTGAGAAGAGTATGCCTTGGAGGAGTTTAGTATCGTGGTCGATACTTCTCCAGGGGCTTGGAGAGAACTTTCTTTTTGATGAAGCCAGAAAGGTATTTGACGATATGCCTGAGTGGGATAATGTGTGTTGGACGTCAATCATAGTGATGCTTGGAAAAGGTGGCAATTTAGAGGAAGCCACAGCAATGTTCCAAAAGATGCCAAGACACTGTGTTGTCTCGTCTACATGCCTGATTCAAGCATATGCCCAGTCTGGGAATCTATCTAAAGCTAAAGAAATCTTTGATGAGATGCCAGAGAGAAATTTGGTTTCCTACAATGTCTTGCTGGAAGCATACGGTATGGAGCTTGGAAAGGTGGTGGAGGCCAAAAGGCTATTTGACACCATGCCCGAACATTGTGACGTCTCGTGGAATATCCTGATCTACTCGTATTGCCTTGCCAGAAATCTCGAAGATGCCAGGGTCATGTTTGAGAAGATACCGCAGCGCGACAGTGTGTCGTACAACACGCTGGTCCAGGCGTACGGCGCCAGTGGTCATCTCCTCGACGCAAAGTTGGTGTTCGATTCCTCGCCCTGGCGAGATACCGTCTCCTGGAACACAATGCTTACGGCATATTCTCTGAACGGGCAAAGTCTCGAGACTATGGATTTGTTCCAGAGAATGCCTGCTAGGGATCTCGCGAGCTGGATTTCGATGCTCGCGTGTCTAGCGCGCAGTGGAAATCGTCGCGAAGCTCTGCAGCTATTCGAGCGGATGCCTGATCGCAGCATCGCCGCGGTGAATGCGCTCCTCGCATCGCCGCATTCTCAGTCGGATCACGCGGCGGAGCTCTTGATCGGGATGGCGATGGAAGGATTCCAGCCGGATGCTGTCACATTCATCGCGATCTTGCATGCCAGCAGCCACAGCGGATTGGTGGATCGGGCTGTTAAGGGTTTCTTGCTCATGAGCCAAGAACACGGCCTCTCGCCGTGGAGAGAGCACTACTGCTGCATTGTCGATGTTCTTGGACGGGCTGGGCAGATCGACAGCGCCAAGGAGCTCGTGGAATCTATGCCGTTTGAGCCGCAGGCCACGGAGCTGGGATCGCTGCTAGCTGCATCGATTCATAGAAAGGAATCGATTGGGGTTGCACGGCGCATTGTGGAGCTCGATCGATGGAATGCCGGATCCTACACAGCGCTAGCCAAGTCCTGTAAGGCGCCAGGGTAATGGATCTTCTTGGTTCCAGGAATTCCTTTGCTGAGCTCCTGCGTCACTGCAAATCGCTGCGCGAGGCCAAGAGCGCGCACGCCGATGTTGCCAAGGCAGGGCTGGATCGCAGCGACACATTTCTGGGGAATCTTGTTGTCCAGATGTATGCTCGTTGTGGCAGCTTGCAAGAAGCGCGCAAGGCGTTTGACAGGATCGAGCAGCCAAACGTTTTCTCCTGGACTCTACTGATCACAGCATATGCCCGAAACGGGCAAATTGAAGAGGCTTCTTTCTTGTATGACAACGCCCCCGAGCCGGATGTGATCCTTTCCACCGCGATGCTCACAGCCTTGGTGGAGAACAATAAGCTCGACGATGCCCGAAAGGTATTCTCAAAAATACCTGAGAAGAATGTGGTGTCCTGGAATGCTATGATCTCTGGTTTTGTTCAAGCAGGGCTTTGCGAGGAGGCATTTGGAGCTTTTCAGCAAATGGATCTCGAAGGGTTTTCTCCAAATTCAGTGACTCTGGTGAGCATTCTCAGTGGCTGTACGAGCTTAGCTCAAGGCAAGATGATTCATGGTAGCATTTGCTTCGAGGTTGAGACCAAAGCTATCAACGCACTGATAAGCATGTATGGCAGGTTTGCAAGCTTGGGTGATGCTCGGAGAGTTTTTGATGCTTTAGAAGAGAAGGACATTGTTTCATGGACTGGGATGATCTCGGCTTACGTGCACAACCAGGAAAAGAACCGGGCTATGGAAACTTTCGCAAGAATGGACCTAGAAGGCGTTAGTCCAAACCGGGTCACTCTGGTAAGCGTTCTCAATTGCTGTAGCGCGCCTTCCAGCGTAACTTTCATTCGTGCAGAGGCCGTGGCAGCCGGTTTTCAAGCTCATATCAGTCTGAACAATGCGCTCATCACTGCCTATGCGAGAACCGGATTGATCAAAGTTTCTCAAGCCATCTTCCTGGTTATGCCGGAAAAGGATACCATCTCATTCAACGCTATGATAATCGCGTATGCCCAGCAAGGGCATGCCCGAGAAGCGCTGGAGCTGCCGTGGCTCATGGAGATGGAAGGCTTCTCCAGGGACCGGATCACTTTCACCAACATCTTCTTCGCCTGTGGCCACTCGGGGTTGCTGGAGAGATGCTGGGAGGACCTTCTCGCAATGCAGGCCGACTTCCAGTTGAAGCCTTTGCCGGATCATTACCAGTGCTTGATGGAGCTCCTGGGAAAAGCTGGGAAGCTGGAAGAAGTCGAGGACTTGATCGGCAGCATGCCTTACGAGCCCGACTCGGTGGCGTGGAACTCTCTGCTGGGAGCTTGCAAGATCCACAGTGACTCCAGCCGAGGAACACGAGCAACGCAGAGGTACGTGGATTTAAGTCCAGGTAATGCCACTCCTTACGTGCTAAGTTCTAATATGCACGCTCAAGATCGTGGCTTTCAGGTCCTGGATTCTCAATAGCAACCAAGGTATACACTTCTTATTCACTGCCACTGGAATTGCATGAAAGTTCCAAGTTTTCTCAAAACTTGACAGTTCTCGTTTCTAGATGATCTTACTTTAAGTCGATGAACTTCCAGGTCAAGTTTCCGAGTCTCCAGGAGATTTTGAGCTAGTTGGCTGGCTGGAAAGAAGAAAATGCTGCGATCCAACGGCAGTGATGTGGACGCCCCGTCGGATTCGACGTGGCACGCGGGAGGCCTTTCGCTCTGCTTTTCTATCTGACACGTCGGACGCGTCCCAGGCCGCCTATTCATCGATCGAATACGTTTGTGAGTGCGCTATCGTTTTCTATTTCTCTCTTCCAGCTCCATTCTCATTTTATCTTGTATATGATCGTGTGAGGCGCGCGCGCTCTAGGCTATGGCGGCGGCGGTGGCAGCGTCGCAGGCGGCGCTATTCAAGTCTCCTTTCCAATCTTTGGATTCGTGCGATGAGCAGAAGAGCGTGAAGTTTAGGAGCACATTTCATGGATCGCGCCGGATCAGCAAGGCGGCTAGATGGAGCAGGCATCTCTTAGCGGGGCAGCAGCATCGGATTTCTTGCTCCGTGAATGCTCCCAGGTAGATTTCTCTGACCTAAATTGTTTTCCCGCTAATTCTTTCTTGCTGCGATCTTTCTCTTCCAGTCCAGCTCAAGCGCCACCGCTGCCCAAGGGAGCCGAATGCTACGGTGTTTTTTGCGTTATTTATGATCTTAAAGAAGTAAGTTGGATTGGATTCCAGTGTGATAGCGACTGAACATTGGATCCACCAGGAGGAGAAACCGAAATCATGGAAGAAAAAACTCGTGCGCGTTGCAGTATCAGGAGCTGCTGGGACGATCTCCAATCATCTTCTTTTCAAGGTATGAGTTCGTCTTTCTCTTTTATCTATGCATTTACTCCTTTCACTCTTCCTAGATTGCATCTGGCGAGGTTTTTGGACCCGATCAACCTGTGGCACTCAATCTTCTGGGATCAGAGCGATCGAAAGAAGCACTTGAAGGTCTTCAAGTTTTACAAAACTGGATTTTGAGTATCTATCTCACGTGAGTTTTGCAGGAGTTGCTATGGAGTTAGAAGATTCACTCTATCCTCTGTTGAGGGAGGTCATAATCGGCATAGACCCGTATGAGGTGTTTCGAGATGCGGAGTGGGCTCTGCTTATTGGTGCTAAACCTCGGGGACCAGGCATGGAGCGAGCTGACTTACTTGACATCAATGGGCAAATATTTGCCGCACAGGTTGGAATCTCTCTTTTATCAAATGATAAGTTCAAAACCTTGCGGTTTTGCAGGGTAAAGCTCTTAATGAAGTAGCTAGCTCGAACGTGAAGGTTGTTGTAGTGGGAAATCCATGCAATACCAAGTATGTATTTTTCTCGCTGTTTTCTATACTTACGAGGTGGTTTTTCTTTGTTTCAGCGCTCTCATTTGCATGAAAAATGCACCCCGGATTCCCAATAAAAACTTCCATGCTCTTACTCGGCTGGACGAAAACAGAGCAAAATGCCAGGTACATTCTTCAGACAAGTCTTGGATCTGTTCTTTTTTATACCTTTTACTACATTTCCATACCTAGTAGCTCGCTCTTAAAGCTGGAGTATTTTATGACAACGTTTCGAATGTTACTATCTGGGGAAACCATTCTACAACACAAGTATGTGCTTTATTCAATTGGAAATACAGACAAGAATCTTTTTTGGCATGAAGGTACCTGACTTTCTGAATGCAAAAATCAATGGAAGGCCTGTGAAAGAAGTCATAACCGATCACAAGTGGCTTGAGGAACAGTTTACTCCAACTGTACAAACGGTCTGGTTTTCTCGAACTTGAAAGGATTCAAGTACTAGATTCACCTGTTTATGCAGCGGGGAGGTGTTCTCATCAAGAAATGGGGGCGCTCTTCTGCTGCATCCACAGCAGTATCGATCGTGGACGCAATGAAATCCTTGGTTCAGCCCACTCCCCCTGGGGACTGGTTTTCTTCGGGGGTAACATTTCCTTGCAAGTTCTCGTAAAACTTTGAAAAAAATTTCTTTCTTGTTCAGGTTTATGCTGCTGGGAACCCTTATGGCATTGACGGCGATCTTGTCTTCAGCTTACCATGCAGATCGAAGGTGAGGTTACTTGATCTCACTCGCGAAAAACTTATATGTTGCTATCTCATCCAGGGAGACGGTGATTACGAGATCGTGCCGGGACTTCATATTGACAAGTATCTATACGAGCGCATAAAGAAGGTAACATCCACTTGGAAATTAGAACTGAAGAGAATTCTCTCTTTTTTCCACAGAGCGAGGACGAACTTATCGCGGAAAGGAAATGCGTTGCTCATCTTATCGGCGAGGTATGTCGTTCTTTCTCCTCAATCAAAAGCAATGGTGTTCTATCCATTGTCTTCCCCTCGTTTGTTTCAGGAGAATGGATTTTGTGATCTTCCTGGAGGCGACACAATGCTCCCTGGAGAACAATAGCAAACAAACTAATTTTTGGAAAACTTGATCTGGACACGTGTCAATGTTTGATAGGTACTAGGTTTCTGAGGTTTTTGTGGACGAATGCTTAGTGAAGAGCGTAGCGGGCAGTGGAGCTGAGCGTGGCGGCTCGCGGGAATCTCTGCGGGAATGTTGTGAAATCTCCGGGATTTGCGAGGTGCAAGGTAGGTTTGGCGCGCAATGGAGACGAAATCCTCTGGTAGGTCTTTCTTGCCTCGATGGATGAGGATTTCATGGCTTGTGGCATGTCTAGGTGGAATAGTGGCGAAAAGTGAGGCACACACGGTGAGTCGAGTAATTCTTTCTTGTAACGAGGAATTCTCACACTTGGGTCGTTCTTGTAGGAGGCCGAGTATAGTGGCGAAGGGAAGGCATTAATCGGTAAGACAATTACAAAGAAAGACACTCCTGGAACTGTGGAGGACTATGATTCCGAGACCAAACTTTACAAGGTTTTGTTCTTCGGACTTGCCGTTGTCAGTTTTCTTAAAATTCGTGTCTTTGCTTTTGTAGGTGAGATTCGAGGGCGACCAAACTGAGGAGATTAAATGGGAAGAACTACAGAAGTATATCCCACAAGAAATCATTTTCAAGAGGTAATCTTTACAATTTTTTTGTGCTTGCTTGGCGAATCTCTTCTCCTTTTTCCAGATTTTCTCAAAAGAAAAAAGAGCCTAGTGTTGACCAGCAAGATAAACCAGGAGAACAGTCTACAAACTCTGAAGCAGCTACAGATAGTGAGGATGATGTCAAGGCGAAGAATAGTGATTATGAACGGGAAGCAAGGATCCAGCAAGTATCTAACGAGAACGCCATCGTGATCACGCAAGTCCAAGAAGTGCAAAGGATGGAGAAGATGGACATGCTTGCGGACGTGGTGGTTCAGAGCAAACTCGAGGGGGTGGCGACGAAGAAAAGGCCACGTAAATCCGCTGCTCCCGTGAAGCTGCAACAAGAGGTTGACGCAATCAGTAGTGGCGAGGAAGCGGATGAAGAGGACGAAGAGGATGACGAGGAAAGCCATGACGAAGATAGCGAGAGCCTAGACAGTTTAAGCGAGGACGGATCAGAAGACGAGCCAGAGATCGACAGTGAAGACGAGGACGACGACGAAGAGGATGAAGAGCGGGATAGGAAAGACGGAGTCGACGACGACAGTGATTGCAGCTTGAACGAGAGCGATCTGGAGAGGCTGAGAAAGAAGCCCAAGAAGAAACGAAAGCACGTCTTGACGCTGCAGAGGTGGAGGGGCTACAAGAAGAAGCGCAGGCTCGCGAAACAGGAGGGATCCGATGGCACCCTGGCGATCAAGCGGCAGAAGAGACCCAAGAAGCCGACTCCAGTGGACGAGGTTACGAGGCGGCGTCAGGTCGTCGCAGCGGAGCTCAAGAGGAAACTCAAGGAGAGCTCTGCGAATCTCAAGCGGAAGAAGAAGAAGAAGAAGACCGTGGCTGTGGAGTCTATTGTGGAGCCAAGCCTGGTGGAGCTGAGTCCGGCAAAGCTAGCTCTTCCGGAACCACCCGAGGTGCTGGAGTCGCCGGAGCCGGCTCCAAAATCTCTCGAGGTTGCTACTCCCTCCACAGCGATTACTTCTACGAACTTAAACGCGAGCGAGAGCAAGCCATCGCCGTTCGACCGGGGAATCAAGCTCCGGGGACGCAAGCTGAGGAAGAGATTCAATGGAAGAGTCTTTCGCGGCGAAGTTGCGGACTACGACAGAAGGAACCGACGCTACAAGGTTTGGTCTCGAAAGAAGTATTTTTGCATGGATTTTTTTACCTGTGAGCTTGTGATCAGGTCCGATACGAAGATGGCGACGAGGAGCAGCTAATGTGGAAGGACGTGGGGCCGCTGCTGGTGCCATTCGAGGAGCTGCATACGTGGGACGATCCAAACTATCAGCCGCAGCAAACGCGAGTTATAAGCTCGGAGCTCCTTGCAGTGGAGAAGAAGGCCAGGGAGGAGAAGCTAAAGCTTCCAAAACTCAAGCCTCAAGTCGTCAAGTAAGAGCGATCTCTCTCTCTCTCTCTCTCTCTCTCTCTCTCTCTCTCTGTGTTGTGTTGTGATTCTTTGTTTGATGTTTGTATTTCCTAACTGATTCTTTGTGTAGGCTCTTTGGTTGATGATTAAAGATCTCTCATCGTTTGTGACTAGATTCATTGTGTGTGTTTTGTGATTCTTTGCCTGATGTTTGTATTTCCTAACTGATCCTTTGTGAAGGTTCTTTGGTTGATGGTTAAAAGGTCTCCCTCTCCCATCGTTTCGTTTGTGACTAGATTCATTGCTTGATGGTTTGATCTCTCATCGTTTTTCTTGTTTGTGACTAGATTCATTTGATTTTTATATCCAGTTAAAGTTGTAGTACCTCTTCATTGACAGGAAAGAGCGGAAGGAACGTTGAAACAGGTGATCCAAAGGTCGTCCAAAGGTCGTCAACGCACATCAGCTGCAAAATTTTAACTTGAATTCATTACGTTGTAGCACGTGGTGTAGAGACCCGGTGTTGTTTCTAGCCGCCGCGTTTTCCAGGTGCATTCTAGGTGTAGGCTTTTACTGACATAGACTTGTACTTTAGGGCAATGTTGGCATCAATCAGAGAGCATCAAAGCATCATCGCATCCTTGCCCATAGATTTCTCTTGCCGAAGAGCAGCATCACAAGGCTTGGCAATGGATCAAAGGGCCCTGGCAATGGATCGCCAATCGTGGGTATTCACCAAACAGGTAAATTGCTCTTGCGGAGGAGGAGGAAGAGCTACTGGATCGCTACCATCACGCTTGCATTGGCTTCCATCGCCTAATAAGCTTCCCCCGATCGCTCGCTCCGTGCGGAGATTGCCAAGTCCTCTGGCGGCGGCGGCAGTAAATACCAACGGTTCTTGCGTGGTTAGAGAGAACCACCGGGATTATGTGCATTGGTTCAGGGAAGCGTGGCCATACATCCAAGGCCATCGCGGCAGCACATTCGTGATCGTTGTCCCAGGCGAGATTTTAGCAAAGCGAGAGACTCTAGACAATATCTTGCAGGTCGTTGTGGTGATCTCAATTGTTCCTCGCTGATTATCATTTGCCTCGACTTTGTCAGGATGTTTCACTGCTCCATGGATTGGGAATCCAGATTGTGCTCGTTCCGGGGGTCCGCGTCCAAATCGACGATCTTCTCCGGGAGAGGGGTAAGGAGATTTGGATCTGCGAGAGGAGGGACTCTAGTTTTTCGAGCGGAAAAGAGAGGTTGGATTTCAGAGGAACGACACAAACAGCTAATAAATGCTTGTAGATTGCAGGTAGAGAGCCGCGATATGTTGGAGCTTACAGGATAACTGATGCTCACGCTCTCGATGCTTCCATGGAGGCGGCTGGAAAATTGCGCGTCGAGATAGAGGCGAAGCTCTCACGAGGACCAAGCATCCCTGTTCTTCGTCGGCATGGCGAGAATGGGAGGTGGCACGAGTCCGGCTTGGGTGTTGCGAGTGGGAATTTTCTGTCAGCAAAGGTTCGTGAAGGCGTGATGAGAATCTGCGTAATGATCTGGGCTTGAACTGTGCAGCGAAGAGGCGTGGTCAATGGAGTGGACTTTGGAGCGACTGGAGAAGTGAAAAAGATTGATGCGGAACGCATCAAAGAGAGGCTCGACAAGAACTGTATCGTCCTGATGAGCAATCTTGGGTATTCTAGCACGGGAGAGGTTCTAAACTGCAAGTAAGCATCCATTGCCTTTGATCTTTGATCTTTCTTTCTTTTTCTCAAAACGTTTTTAGTACGTACGAGGTGGCGACGGCGTGCGCGGTGGCTCTTCAGGCTGACAAGCTTTTGTGCCTGCTCGACAGTCCGGTTCTTGACGAGAATGGATTTCTGATTCGCTTCATGACACTTCCTCGGGCCGACCAGCTGATAAGACAGCGCGCAAGCCAAAGCTACATCGCTGCCGATTACGTGAAGGCTCTGGCGGGGTCAAGCTACGTGAAAAGTCTCGGTCTAGCGGACGTTCCTTTCCCGAATGAAAGGCGCGGTTTTTATGTGAGTGCGTCGACCGGCGACTTAGCACTCAGCGAAGAGAACTATGATTCCTGCGGGAAGGGGTTTGCTGTTGGTGGCTTGGTGCGGACACAAGGATACTTATCGGAGTTGACGGCCTCTGTTCACGTTTGTCGGGTAAGAACTTCGGAGCTTTCGAATATAATTTTTTTTTTTTCGCGAAACTGAAGCTGTGCCGTGCTGATCCTTAGGCAGGGGTAAGGCGGGTCCATCTCTTGGATGGTACCATTGAGGGAGCTCTTCTCCTTGAGCTTTACACCAGAGATGGAATAGGCACGATGATCGCAAGGTAAAGTCTCGTTGTTTATCAGTTTTAAATTGTTTGTGATGTTTGGATCTTTGACTGATGATTTAATGCTCGATACAGTGATATGTACGAAGGCATTCGTTGTGCCACCAAGGACGATCTTCAGGATGTAGAGAAGTTATTGCGTCCTCTGGAAGAAAGTGGGATACTCGTGAAAAGGTCGCGGGAAAAGGTACTTTGTTTATTCACTCTCGATTCCGATGGCTCTCAATGAGATGTTCTCCGCAGTTACGAGGGGAGCTGGAGCATTATGTCGTCGTGGAAAGAGAAGGATCGTTAATTGCCTGCTGCGCACTGTATCCTTTCCTCAAAGACAAATGCGCAGAAGTTGGAGCTTTCGCTGTTTCTCCCGAGTGTCGCGGCCACGGCCAAGGCGACAGCCTACTCGGTTCGTGCATGCATCTTTCTAGTTTATTGTTTCCTATGCGGAGCATAGAAACTAACCGGTTTCGCGATTGCAGATTATGTAGAGCAAAAGGCTGCTGCAATGGATTGCCAGTATCTCTTCCTCTTGACAACTCGCGCCGCAGATTGGTAAACAACTCTCGTCGATCTTTACGATCTTTGGATAAAAAAGAAAAAAACGTTTTTGTTTATGTTTCTCCAGGTTCGTTAGCAGGGGATTTTTCCAGTGCCCCCTGGAGCAACTGCCGGCGGCGAGGCGGTCCGGAATAGACTTCACGAGAGGCTCCAAGTATTACATGAAGTCCTTGCAGCCGCGGCCGTGCAGCAGCGCACAGCTCGCCCTCCAGTTTTGAGGCGATGTCTCGAGTCTATACAGTGAGTACGCGTCCGTTTTCTTTTTTTCTACTTTGTCAAGGAGTCCGTGTGAGAGCCTGTCCTTTCAACTTCACAGGTAGAAGATGTATACCCGGGCGAGAATAATGCGTCAAGCTTTTCGGGATGGGAGAAACTTTCTTCCACAACTTGGCTGTACTTCTCCGGGAGAGCATTCGATCGATCCAGTCGTCCTCGCGGAAGAGCGAGCGAGCGAAAGAGAGGAGAAAGAAAACTGGTTTCTTGGAAGCGAGAATTTTGCCGAGCAGTGGTGAATGCCAATACAGCCGGTGTGATTCTTTGGTACAAAATAAAAAAACCAAGCACACTCCTTTGAAACATTAAAGTGTAGCCGTTATAAAGGCTCGCGTTTAAAAAGATGGGGTGAGATCCCGGCCGCTAGATCCGACGGTGATTGGAGGCCGTCAATATCCGGTCCAACTTCCTTGGAACACACCCGTACGGAACGCGGCTGAAATGGCCCATGGTGGGTGGCGCAGGGATAAAGATTCCCTGGAGATGCTGGTATGGCAGGGTCGCCTCACTGGCTCACTGGCATTGGTATAGTTTCCTTAGGGTTCTACCACTCTTTTCGTTCTTTCGCCCTTCTTCGCGCTTCCTCCTGCCAGGGCTGCGTCGTGATGATCGTCTTGGAAATCTCTACCGCAATGACGGCGATCTGCGGCCCTGCGCAGTGATTCTTTCCCCCCGTTCTTGAAATCTTTGCTCTTCTTGATCGATCGATCGATCGATCTTTCGATCTTTCCATGGCGCGGCTGGAGATCCGGGTCGCTGCCGTCGTGTTCTTGCTGGCGCTGTCGCGGTTCCGATGTGACGAGGAGGAGATTTCGCGCAAGACTTACATTGTGAGGATGGACAAGGGAGCAATGCCGGCGATATTTCGGACGCACGAATCCTGGTATGAATCCACTCTCGCAGCAGCGTCGGGAATCCACGCCGCCGCCCCGGCGGCCGAATTCATCCACATCTACAACACGGCGATGCACGGATTCGCGGCCAAGATGAGCGCTCGCCAGGCGGCGGCGCTGGAATCCGCCCCGGGATTCATCCACATGTTTCCAGACTCCGCCAAGAAGCTCCACACGACGTATAGCCCACAGTTCTTGCATCTGGAGCAGTCCAACCACGCGCCATCGCTCCTCTGGAAGGATTCCACCTATGGCTCCGAGGCAATCGTGGGGATCTTCGACACTGGCGTGTGGCCGCAGAGCCAGAGCTTCGACGATCGCAAGATGTCGCCGGTTCCATCGCGGTGGAAGGGGACCTGCCAGGCCGGCCCGGGCTTCGATCCAAAGCTGTGCAACCGCAAGCTCATCGGCGCGCGATTCTTCTACCGCGGCTACGAGGCGATGAGCGGTCCTATCAACGACACCACCGAGTTTAAGTCGCCCAGGGACTCGGACGGCCACGGCACGCACACGGCCTCCACTGCCGCCGGGCGGGACGTGTACCGCGCGGATCTCCTCGGCTTTGCCGCCGGTACCGCTCGCGGCATGGCGCCCAAGGCACGCATCGCCGCCTACAAGGTCTGCTGGCAGTCGGGCTGCTTCGACTCGGACATCCTCGCGGCTTTCGACCGCGCTGTCTCGGACGGCGTGGACGTGATCTCTCTCTCGGTCGGCGGTGGAGTGATGCCTTACTACCTCGACAGCATTGCCATCGGCTCCTTCGCGGCCATGGAGCGGGGAATTTTCGTGGCTTGCTCGGGCGGGAACGAAGGCCCGACCGATATGTCGGTGACCAACATTGCGCCTTGGATCACCACCGTCGGGGCCAGCACCATGGACCGGAGCTTCCCCGCGAATGTGAAGCTGGGCAATGGGATGGTGATAC